ATCCAAACAATGTTGTTGACCTAATGCTCTTCCAGTTATATTGCCATGTTGCATCTAACCCCAATGGAAACGCAGCATCCAGACGACTTTCTACAAGACCAGACGACTTAACACAAGTGCTAGTAGGATACCAGGGGACCAGCGGACCACAGGACCAGAGGACCAGGAGACCGGAGGACTAGGGACCAGTGGACTAAAGGACCAAGGGACCAGGGGACCAAAGGACCAGTGGACCAGAGGACCAAGGGACCACATTACCAGAGGACCCGCAAACCACAAGGCCAGGAGAGCAGCAGAAAAGGCCTATCAAGGAATATTCTGTTTTGATTCGTTTTTTTTGATACTGTTTTGTTTTTTTTGATGCTCTTTTTATTTTTGTTTGATACCTATGCCTACTTTGAGAGCCTGAAACAGGATTTCTTTATATTTCTTTGCAACCAATCCGGGATCCTACCCCATTGTTCTTAGCGCAGGAGCCCGTCAAAACGTACGTTCTGCAATGGTCCTGGTTCTCTGAACTCCTTTACCTCGTCTTCACCCAAACAAAGGAACCAAGAAATCAAACGCCGTGTCAAGCATAACGGGACACCAACTACCAAGGACATGTCATTTGCTGTTCTTTCTCCTTGCAAGTGTCGTGGAGGTCCCTTCATCCAGTGCTGGGTCAAAACTAGTAATTCTCTAACATATCACACCTCCACTGACACTTCACTAAACACAATAATACCCAAAAAACTGAAGCAAGTCCAATGGAATACCAAATCAAAATAATCAAACAAATCACTGGTCATTTCATGTCACTTCCACCCCCCACATGACATGGCCACTTCTTCATGTTCAAGGCACCCATGCTTCAGCTCCACCGCACGTCGGCGCTTGAAGGTCTCGACGTCGCCGTCGGCGGACAGGCCCAAGGGATCCCAAAAGCCCACCTTGGCCGCTGCGAGGCTTGGCTCCAACTAAGCGAGATGGCCTTTTATGGACCCGAAAAAGGACATCTAAAGACCGGGATGAGAGAGGATGAGCAAACCTGGGAAGTCTTCAAGGTGGCAAATGCATTATCTAGTACTGTAATGATAGATCCAGAACAATGACACACAGGCCCATGTTCCACTTCATGTTGAATTTGTAGATACTTGACGACATTGGCATTTGCTGGTAATCGACGGGCCACGTCCTCAAAGTAAAAGAAGTCGAGACCACTCATACATCCGGCACATGTATCCCCCATAGCCCCAACAAAATGACAACACATGTTGTTTTCGTTTTTTCGGAGACTAGTTTTGGTATACGTATGGTGCAAGCAATGTATCATCGTTGGTTACTGGAAGTATTGGACATTTGTTGCTTTTAGTCGGGCTTCGCTCTTCCCAACCACCTCCCGCAAAAAAAAGTACAGTACATCACGTGCCGCACGTGTCACGTGTCACGTCGGTGTTGCTTCACGTCGGTCCTGACGCCAAGGGGCGGGCGCTTGAACGCCCAGCTCTCCCTCGAAGGCCCTCAGCGGGGAGTCCGTGTAGTTGGCCCAGTCGCCCCAAGCAGAGCCCGTGAGGCCGTCCTGGAAGAACATGCCTCGAAGAAAGCGAAGGAAGTGGCTGGGATGGAGTCTGAATGACTCTATGGATGAATCTAAGGATGTATATTGGTCAATACTGATACTGTAGATGTATCAAGAATACTGTGTATACATATATATGTATATACATGGAAGGAAACTAGATCGCTGACAACGAACGTGAGTGAGTGTGAGCTCCCGTGAATACATCACTCAGAAAATACTTGCAGCATCAGAGATGGGACGTCGTGTCATGGGTATCTACTTCTGAAAGACTTTACATCTAGCATCAGCGTGTGTGGAGTGCTGATGGGTGAATGGTAGATAATTGTTTGGGTTGATGATGAGTACGTAGTTCGCTGCATCCATGGAATGAAATAACATACATTGGCGCTCAACAAGCTTAACACTTGTCTGTAAGCCCTAGGGACAGTAGGGAACATCCTATCGATTTATCAACCATGTTCTCCGTCACCAACCTGAACACCTTGCCTGTTGAACCCATCTCCTGCCCTTGTGGATCCTTACCGTGCATTTCAGCAAAAGGAACCGTCCAAACAATGCGGGATTGGTTGCATGAGGCTGTTATGGCATCGGTTTCCTTCTCCATGTTGGGAAGAACATTCTTGTTGAAGGATATCTGGATAACAACATTTTTTTGTTTGCAACTGTTCATTTTATTGAATCAATCTTGTTCACATTCACGTTCGAAATCGGAACCCGCTTTCCTCCGCACGGCCGGTTCCGCTCCAGCCCAGGTACCGATGATGGCCATCATGGCCAAACGTCCGTTGGCCAACTCGGCCGAGAGCTTCTTCTTGCGGACCTGGCGACTGGGATTGGATTCTCTGGTCAAGCATTCTCCGCCAGGTCAGTCCAGCTGGGTGGGATTGAATCCATGAATCCCTCAAAGACTGATGTCCTCTGTAAAACAGTAGTAAACAAGATGTTCTGCATAATATATACTGTATACATTATACAAATGCGTATCTACTGCTTGTGTATATGCTTGTGTCATTGGTTGTCGGTGTCATGTCGTCTAAAAAACATGGAGACTGTAGCCTGTATTGCTGGTCTATGCCATCTAAGCCTAAGAACCTTTCCAGAAGAAAAAGTCAGTAAAATAGAACAACATATTTATCAGAAATGAACTGAAATGAACTAGGGTTTTCGCACCGCCAAAGTGGATGATGATGATAATGATGATGATGATGATGCCAGCTCATAAATCCAGCCTGACTCCTCTTATGAAGTAGGAAGCAGTACTGTGATATGCATACCTCACGTATTTTTATAAAAAGGTTTGCGTCGCAACTGGTGCTTTATCCGATCACCTTCACTCAAACCTCCTGAACCTACGAATATACATGTCCTACATACCACCGCTTGCTTGACCTGGACCTTGGCATTGACATGAACAATAAGTCCAACGCACATTGACAGAGCACTTTGCCAACTGACTTGTACCTCTTCTATGGCAAAGCTTCTAGCTGGCTTGAAAACTGCCTTATAGTCCAAGCACATCTCACGGTACACCTCAACCACAAACCCAGATGCTGCCTGGCTACTTGGATGTGCCTGCCATTGCACTCAACCACCCGTTTCCCAAGTGTTTGATGCTTTCGCGCACGCAATTAATCAGTCGACTCAGGGTGACAGCTCCTTCTCCCCAAATTAACAGTCGGCCGCAGTCCTTTTTTGGCCATCGCCGCTGTGGCTCATCGTGGGGGGGCTGATTTACCCCAGCTGATGCAGCAACTCAGTTGAGTTTCAAATCCGCATCAATCTCACGTTGCGACAACTGTCTCTCTCATGATGTTCCCAACCTCTGGGCTCTTCATCGAAAGCAAACCTGAGCTCATCCGACAGCGCAGGTTCTTGGCGGCACTTGGTGGCACTGTGCTCCTCAACGATCAGGTGGAGTGGAATCGAGCTTCTGGTGGGCAGAGATCACCTCGGCATCCATCTTGCCCAAGAGCATCATCCAAACCTGAGCCATAAGAGATGAACTCACCCCCGAGACCTGCTACCCCTCCATCCTGCTACAAAACCCAACCGTGCCAAATCTCGGTGTTCAAAAACCTTTTTTGGAGATACCACGTGTCCCAACATTGAAGATGATGCAGTATGTTGTTGAGTCATTCATCTACAAAAAATCATCAAACAGGGTGTTTGCCAAGTCCCATTTCTGAGAGACACAAGATCTCTTCTCATCTCCCTCGTCTCTCATTGTATCTGGTCAAGAGGCCATGACCCAATCGCCTCGAAAGGAGTACCTTGGTCACAGCAAAGACGCCATGGAGGGATGCCAAAAACATCATTGGAATTTGCTGGTGTGAAAAAATGAGAATGGTTATGGTTGTCGTATAAATCGTATTGCGTTCCTTGAACATGAAGGTTTGAACAACAAACTCCTTTAAGTCGCTATAGACGAATTCATCATTCATAGACCCGCGTGCCCAAAAACTCACTTGATTGTTCACAACACGAGCTACGTGGGATACTTAAAGCTCGCCGGCTTGTTGTGCTCGACGAAGAAGTGGCCAATCCAAGCGCACCCATAGCCAATCAAGGGACAAAGGGCCAAGCGACGCTTCTCAGCACCAGTGAGGAGTGTGTGAAGTAGCAAGAAAAGACCTGAACAGGGCATGCAGCAAAGTAGAAAACGTTTGAGTTGGCATCAAAGACCCTCTACAGGGCTGATTTCAATGGACCATGGCCGCTAGGTGATTGCTGCGACAGACAAGCAACATCAGCTGACCTAGTGCTTCAAGGATTTCAATTGTCTCAAGATTTGCTGCATCAACAAATTGATTGCCTACATGTACAACTCGCAATAGTAACCCCCCTGGGCAAACTCCAAAACATTTACAATTCTCCCATTTTTCATCATTGTCACGTCATCTGAGCGAGTGTGTCACTGAAATCAACCAACTTCAGCTCTCTCTCTCTCTCTCAGCTCGAAATCACTGCTGCTTGCCTGTGAGGCTTCCACAGAAATGCATCCATCGGTTCGTGGGATTGGTGTGCTCTCTGCAATAGTATGGCCTGAAAAATAAACTAGATTAGTGCAAATCAAAAAACGAAAGCATCTGGTTATGATGTCAATGTGCTAACGTACATATGGTTCAACAAATAAATGGTTCAGTAAATATATAAAAATATAATATACATAATATAACTCACAAGTCCAATCCCCTGCAAGCAGTGACTGGATAGCAAGTCGGGACATGTCCGGACAACAGCCAGATCAGACAGTGGAAACGAACCTGGCTGGTGAAGGATTTCTCCTTTCACAGGAGTCCCACTTCCACGAGGGACGAAAAGAACATGGAAAGCTTGGATGAAGCATTGAGTGAAGCATTGCCTCCAAGTTGCCAAAATTCGCGAAAGCTGGCAATACCATCCGGAAGTGGATAGGAGGTTCGCGCCATGGTTTACACAAGGGTGTGAACTACTGCACAAGGCAAGTGAGTCATCTATTGCCATGTGAGTGGTGCTCTTGACCATGAAGTTTTTCCATGAGCGATGAATGTCTGTCGCTGAATGGCCATTACAAGCAAATGTGTGGATCACCACTGAGTCATAATTTCTCTACAAGTCATGGATACCTGGAATATTAAGCAGTGATGTCTGCGATCGTAAATCTGCACTTGGACCCTGAAATCAAGGCCCCCTCTAGGCTGAATGGTCTGGGTACTTTTAGGGGCTAACGAATAGATTGCATTTTTGCCTCTGCACAAGTAGATGGAAATGGAGGGTTGAATTGCTCTTGCCGGGACCCATGTGTTGTTCGAGACTGCCATCTGTGTTCCTGAAAAGCCGGGGTGGTTTCAGCAACGCTCATCGGCATTGGTAAAGGGGTTGTGGGAAACAAAATTTGCACCCAAGGCCACGAGGACATGGAACCGGTCTCCCCGTTCATTTATTGTCTTTCTTGCAATGCTTTTGAGCTCTATTTGCAGTGTATGCCATCCACATGGTTCACATTTCTGTTGTGCGGGGTAGATGGCATGGAAGTGGCCTAGACCACAAAAGGATAGCATATCATAGGCTCCCTCCTCATGCCATCAATTCGTTAGCCCCTATAAATATTCCTGACAAAAAAAGAGACTACACGGCCCTTAAAACCCCTTCCAACGAAAACACAAAAAGCATAGACGCTCCTCCCACCCAGCCATGGAGTTGGATGAACCCCCATCTGCCTTGCCCTTCTTATGCCCCAAAACAAAAAACACAACCTCATCAGAAACGACCGACCAGCACAAACAACGGGATAGCCCGGGCGGTTTCTCTTTTGCGCCTCAGGGTCTGCCACGGAGGGAAAGAAGCCCAAGCCCAGGTTGCCCTTGCCTCAGCGAAAGCTTGGACTGGCACAAAAGCTTGGAAAGGCCCGCCGAACAGGTCGCCGAAACCGGCAGCCTGTTCGGTCCGATTCCGACCGGATGACCCGCGCAGCGCTCGACGTCATTCAGGTTGTTCAGCTACGAAAGTCATATGACGAACATGGATATTGGTGCATCTGCGAAATCGTATCTTCCCTCCCAGGTACAGCGATCAGGCAGCTGAAGGTTGGTTTTGGTTCAAAAGATCAATGCAGGACCATGACGTAAATATCATCCATTAGAGCTGCACTACTCCATGCACTCTTGGGACGTACGTGGGTGGTTATAGGCTTTGAGCCTGATGCCCTAATATCCAGGGAAAACATCATAGTTTCTACTTAAAAACAATTGATCTACTTCGGAAAATCGTATATCCTGAACTTATGCTTTTTGGATGTTTGCCAACAGAAGTTGTCTTTGTCCTGAATTAAACGGAGCAAATCCGGGTGCGGGTATATCCATCCATCTGTTGAAGGAGGGTTAGTCCTACATAATTGAACATCAAACCAACATGTAACATGTAATATGACTCACTCTTGAACATCTGAAGACATGCTTTGAGACCTACATAGTACTCAATGGTTGCAAACAACAATGTCTCTTGCAACCCACATAAAAATCACTGTCCGCTGTCCGAAATCTAAACTCCACATTGCCAACAGCCAAGTATTGCCAACCTCCACAGTGTTCAAACGGTTGTCCACCATTGTCCACCAGGACTGGTGGACTAGCCGGAGGGGCCGTAGTTGCCAGGCTCATCGCCCACTGGCTTGTTAATGAAGAGCTCATAGGTTCCCAGGAAGGCAACGATCTGAGCCCAGCCCTGTCCTGCAGATGGGCACGGGACACATGGAGTCACATGGAGCGCCGATGCCGCCGAGCCAGCAGGCTTCCAACACGTCAACAGGGACCTGCCGGTTGGCAATGGGTATCTTATAATATCAATATAATATATAAATATATACAGTATATACTCGTATGTCGATAACCTGGTTCTGAGGTGTTCCTGACACAGCTCCAAATCGACCCCCCTCTCTACCTCTCTCCACCCAAAAGGTCTCCATTCTTCACCTGCCTGGCACTTTGGTCAGTGCTGCTAAGCCGTTGGGAATCGATTCAAAGCTCAAGCCCATCTTGGGAGACAAATCCTCGGGTTCCGAGACACGTCCGACGCTCCGTCGGTCCGGGTGGGGTGTGACAGGGACGTCCCACGTCCGGTCTGCGAACGACGATATACTACGATCGGAGTGAGGTTGGATGCCACAAAAGCCAAGGAACAAGCGGACATGTCAGGCGGTTTAACTCCAAAGGATAGTGATTACATGGGATTACTATATATGTATGTTTTATGCATACTGACAATGACGCACGTCTGAGTCTCCAAGATAAACCTTATTTATTTGGGATGGAGTCTCCAACTGTTGGGGGAGCGACAACCTCCGACCCCGACCTGAACAGGACGGGGTCGGTACTCTGAACACCTGACACTTCTGACCACTCAAAGGCAGTGCTGAAAATCAACGAACTTGAGCCGTGCTATGACTCAACCACCAAACCGGTCTCTACACCTCACTACTTCAGTCTTTTTTTCAGGTGATGAACCCTATGAGATCCTATGAGTGAGGCATCCACTGCCCAGGAGATCAAAACTGCTCATTGTTCAAATCTCTTTCTATTTCCGTCAAAAATGCCTTGCCCATGCCACTCAAGTGATGCATCCCAGATGCCCCAGGAAAGCGGAAGTACTCGGGCACGATGTAACCTCGCGTCAACCCGCAGTCAGAGTCGGGAGCTTTGGAGTCCATGCAAGTCATGTCTTGCCTTAAAACTGTGCCTCGAAGAGCATGAGTCTGTAATGTGTGTTGGTAGAAATTGGGTCATTGGGTCTATGTTGACGTGTCGAGATATCATGATATGTCATGATATTAATATCTATGTCAACCACACGTCTATGTGAATTTGAGTCTGGAAGGAGGCTTGCAAATGGGCATGGGTATCATGGTAAAACACAAAAAGCTTGTGCTCAGCTTCTTCTTACTCTGAACCAAATCTATATTCTTATGGGGCAGCTGTAGACACTCGCATTTTGTTACAATGTTGCTTTGAATGCATGGAGTGTTCGCTTCAGCGCATGGTCGTGAGCCACCCGAATGTAGCCCAGAGCTACCCAAAGCTAGCCTTGGCATTGTTATTCTTGATGGAAATGGTAGCTAAAGTTTATTACACTGTGCAATTGTATGGCCTGTACTTCCCCATCCAAGCCCAGGCGGCTGGTACTCCATCCGGGCCAAGTGACCCATGCAGGCGTACATGGCAATGCGGCCGTGCTTGATCTCGACCTCACGGCCTCAAAAAGAAGAAGCTGAGCCTTGTGTGACCTGAGCGACCTGAGCACCTGGTAGAAAAACTCTATAGAGTACTGGTTGGATGAGGATGGGGTTAACAATGAATGATCATGACATGGTGACATTCTGTGATCTTGGATGTCTTTACACCTCGTGGACTCATGAACTAAAAATGTTTCAAAACCACGAATGACTTGATGCATTTGGTTGAACCGACACAACCTTGGCAAACGAATCCACAGTTGTTGGCATGTTCCGAAAGGAACGTCGTTCATCAAACCACCCAAATGGGTACTATTTGCTACACAAATCACAAAACAGATCCAAAGGATCCATTGCAGAAGCTCCTCAGAATCTCACCAAGCCACTTCCTATCACTTCCTCCCTTCTCTCCCTCGTCGGTCCAAGCTACGTCGCTTGAAGACGTCAAGGTCACCATCCGCGGAGAGGCCCAAGGGGTCCCAGAAGCCCACGGGTGGCTGCACGCCCAACTCGCCTTCGCGTGCGTTCAGGCGCTCCGCTCTCGCGTTTATCGGGTGGCGGGTGTGTAGCGGAGTCGCCCAAAACGGTTTACAAGAAGTGCAAGAACCGAATGATGTTCCAATGTCCCGGCTCAGGGGAGCGGACGTTGAAAATCCCCTTAGGGTGTTGGTGGAGGTTCTTTTCATGACCCGTTTGCACCCATTCATGCAAAACTCGGCTTCAAAGGTTTACTAAAACCTTTTGAACTTTACTTGTTTGGCTCAAATGCGCGAGACTGGCGTTGCTGCGCCGTGCTTTCGGTTGCGAGTGTTTTTTTTTGTGTTCTGTTGGTCCTGGAATGACCTGCAACAGCATGGGGATGCTGACCTGTCAATCCTTCGACTGGAACAAATCACCGTGACACCACCGGAATGGTGTGTGGCTTTGTGGCTCAAACTATATAACAAAACGGAGAAAACGGTTAGAAACAAAAACAACAAACGATAGAAACCAAAACCCAGTAGAAACAAACTATTGGTAGAAGGGAGGCCTTGCTCTTTGCCCCTCCTGTGGTTCACTGATCCAGTAATCTATTTTCTTGGAGCTTGTGGTCTCCTTTGCCAGCTACGATTGACCTCGAATGCTTGTGCGTGATACTGAACGTGTAACAAAGCAGTCAGGAGCCAAACTGCAGTCCGACTTTGCAGGATGCTTGCAAAGGACGTGTGTGGCCCTGTTCCCTCAGGGTGTAACATTCCCACCCACAGCTTAACATCTCCACATCCAGCAAGCAACTCCAAAGATGTCACAAGAAATTCCAGCATCTTCTTGGACATCCCATATATGTGATGGACAAACATCTCTGGCGACCGAGGGACCTCTTGGGGATGGTCAGGGGAGATAGCCCACCAAAACCGTAGATGTTGTCCAAGCATGTCCAAGCCTCATATGGCGCACCCATTTCACACCTGGCCTGGAGCCTAACCGACCCAATTGAATCTCATTTGGCGGTCGACTGCGCATGGCCACACCGTGCCTTCGAAGGCCCGCAAGGGCGAATCAGTGTAGTTGGCCCAGTCACCCCAGGCGGAGCCGGTCAAGCCATCCTGGCAAATGGGTCCCAAGTCAGTGCTACATGGGTCCCAAGTCTCCACCTCTACGAGTTGAAAATCGAAAAAGGTCAGCTACCCAAAACTATTGGTGTGTCATCTTAGTTTTGCGTTGTTGCAGCTTGTTTTTTTGGTTGGTGGTTAGTGGGTCAAACAAGTTGCAAGAGGAAAACATGCACCCAGTTACCACCAAAGGAAAGCTCAGCAAAAGCCCCACGTAGTGTCAAGCATGCAATGGGGGGGAACCAGTTTCCAACCTGGGCGAACAAAAATCAAACCGCCCAACGGTGAACGTTTGACGACTCGTCCAACAATCAACGAGTCGTTCTGCGCCTGGCGAAACACGGTACAGAAGGGTTGTCCGGAGCAAAATATTCCCTGTCTTTAATCGGGGTAGAGCAGGAAGACCAGGACAAGCAACGCTATACAAATGTTGTTGGGATCTCAAAGTTTCTATACTTGGCCAAGAAGGATTTCCACCACGGCCATTGTGGCAGAAAACTCTTTCGAGTGCCCCCGTACCCGGATGTTAGCGGAACGATTTGGGCACGTTCCGAGGTGCCCCACCGGCAAAAAAACATGTCACATAAAGGGCGTCAGTTGAAGCACACAAATGCAATGTTTAATGTGTCTGAGTCAATTGTGCACGCTAGGAAAGGAGGCCTTGAAACCTTTGATCAATTTTTTTGGAGGCCTTGGTACCCTGAACATCGGATATTGATTCATATTTAAAAATCCAAATCGTTATTTTGATATTGATTCGCATCGATTCTATCCTATAATTGTTTAACTATATATATACATGTAATTGTATTGTTTTGATTGATTTGGATATTGATTTGGGATGTTGACGGTTGCTTCTGCAATTATGTGGCTCAAAGTGCCTCATATAGCTACGCACTCTTGACAAAAAGGGGTCTGTCCTCTGTCCTTTTTGACAAAACAGGGATGTCAAATAGGGGTGGGAACAGGCGCAATGCCAAGCCTCAAGTTGATGAGGGGTTGCCGGTGAAGCTACTCAACCAGCAAATCTAGAATCTCAAACACATGGGGCCATATGAACAAAGTTGAACAAATATCCAAATCTCAGGCATGCAACCCTAAGGGATTGGTGACAGCTCTGCCCTTGACAGAAGGGCTTGTAGAGCTCGAACATACAGGTGAAATACGTTGCCAATGCCTTAGGAAGGCACGATTCCAAATCTTGCTGGAAGACCCGTCATTAAATGACTCAGTTTTTTTAGTGCTGTGTGGGTAGAATTTAATAATTGAGCGGTTGGGCGTATTGCCGTACCACATGAGAAAGCTGGCAAACTCCAATTTTCACAATGTGTTTCCAAACTCAGTTGCTATGACTTTTTGAAGCTCAAAGACGTGATCCAGCTGATCAAAACAAAAACAACGAGACCGACCAGGAAGAAGAGGAAAAACATGCGGATGAACGGCCTAAAAAAGTAATATAAAGGAGACCAACCTAGACACTGAAGGGTATCCTAAATGCTTTGGAACACCAAAAGGTGAGACGAGTGCTAGTAGCCCGGATACCTTGGCAAAAGGTAACGCTTCGGAGAATGATAAGCAAACCCTCTTGACAAAAAGGGTCCCATGCCTAGCTTCCTGGGCAGAAGGACAGGGCAATTTGGCTCTAGCCCACAAGAAAGTTTCGACAAAGAAGATACAAAAAAGGCTGAACTGAAAGAACAGTTTTGCAGTATGAAGAAGCCAGCGTGTAAAAAGACATTGAAGATAATGAATAAACAAAGTTCCTTGACCAAAGGATCAGGAATTGTGAAAAATAATGAGCATGAAAAGGGTGCAAAATCAGTTGTTTTTGGTGAGCACCTTGACAGAAGAAAACTATGGACAACGCTTGCAGTGACAACTACAAAAAACACCAATGCCAAGGGTGGCAAAATCAACTGGCCTTGATAGTGCAAACAACACATGTAGTCACCCAAGAAATTTCTAAATCATACAATATAAAACCGAAACTACAGAAGGAACACATCAGCAAACAAAAGGCTATTGATTTCAGGGATCACTTGTACAAGACCTGGTAGGTTGATCTCTTAGATGGTCTTCAGCAGGTCGTTCGTTGGCACGTGACCATATAGCTGCTCATCCCGGTCCTGTGCCACTAGGTGCAATCGCAGAATCAATCCGATGGCTATTTGCAAATTCCGCAAAAAGACTACAAGGAACTTCTTTGGAAGACGAAGTAAGAAGGCAAAACGCTCACTTGCAGCTTCTTGGAAGATGAAGTAAGGGCAAAAACTGAATTCCCGTCCACTCTCACAACTCAGGTCGTCATCTATGTTGAACTTGGTACACTTCTCGAATGGCTGCTGAAGAAGGCGATTTCTGGCACACATCTCTAAGCAATCAATCACTGCTGAACAAGGTGAGTCCATAGCTTCTTTTCGAGCTCGGCCGGCTGAAAGCGAATGCCGTTGCAGGAACAACGCAAGAGAGCTCTAAAGGCTGCATGGGACTCAGGACTGCAAGTGGAAGTCAAAGAGAACTTCCAAACTCGGCCTGTCATGGGTTGTTGAAACTTGGATTGGCAGCAGCTCACCTCCAAGTCCATCTAGTCTGCGGTCAAAGCATTCAAGTAGTCATAGGCCCGAGTTGGCTCGGGTCCAATAAGCTTGTGCGGCCTGCTTCAAACAACGAAGGAGAATCACGGTGTCCCATGGGTGAGGGGGGAAGTGCTTTCTGACGGGAGGAGCTTGTTGCGGTAGGCATCGCAATTCCCCTTTATGGTTCGTTTGGATTCTTCGGAGGAAAGGAGAAAAGCCAAAGACTGTGAGTTCATCAACTGCGCAACATCCTGACTTCGGTACAGAGTGAACCGAAGCAGGTCCTTCAGCAGAGCTTCAGAAGACCGTTGGGATCCCTGAGCAGCTGCAGAGGCATCGGAGCGGCGGCGAGTTTGCGGTGGCTCAGCAGGGACACCGTTGCCCGCTTGGCGCTCGAGGTCCGGCAGGAAGGCGGAAGCGGCTGGTGCTTCGGCCATGTTGAGACACAAGGATGGGTAATGACATTCCCAAGAAGCAACGTTAATAGACAAAATAGTGATGGTGTCAGCATTAGAGACCGCCAAATTCTTACGTGTTGGTTTGCCATCAGCAGGTGATGAGGGCCCGCTTCCTGACTCAGAAGTTTGCACGTCTGCCACTTGAGGTCTACAGTTCAAAGTAGCAGAGAGATAATTTTCGGTCTTGAGTGTTCCGTGCAGAACAGCGTCATCATGATTATGGCCATTCGCGCGAATGTAATCAGGAGGTTTGCGACAAAGAATAACTGCGTCGAACTGGTCTCGCTTGTTGTGGGCAATGGCAATTTGCTTTGTTGGAGATTGTTCACCAAATGTCTGCAAATCAAAGTCAGGGGAGTACACTGTGATACAGCACATCGAGACTCGGAGCAAAAGGCCGAGACGCAGAGCTCATCTCTAAATGTCCCCAGTTTGGCCATATTTGTAAGCTAGTCCTAGTCCTGGTATGCCCTGATCACTGGATAGAAACTTGCCTGCTGAGCAGGCTGTCGGGTGCCCCCATGAAACAACCCAATCAGCCGTGGCGCGTGATCCAACTTAGCCAGGGGGGCTTCTGTATCACGTCACAGCTGGTCCCACGTTCCTTTCAGGTGGAAGAACATGCGTATAAAGAGGTGTGTGATAGGACAGGTTGTCAGTCAAAGCATAGCGTGGACGCATGGCCCAACCTGAGAAACGGCAAAACGAAAGGAGGTGGCTTTCTGTGGGCCCTGGAGCCATGTGGAGCTGACCACTTGCCGGTTGCCCTGCAGGAGAAGAAAAATGAAAAGTGTAGGCGGCCAATCGCCACGTAGGTTAAGGAAAAGGAGACTCCATCAGTGAACAGCCTAGAACTGTCGAACCACTCATGAGAGACGATATCGAGTCGCTTGCAATCTGAGAGCAAAAACCAGAATTCAAGTGTACACAAAGTCACGCAGCAAAAAAAGGTGAGCTTCGAAGAGTGCTTCGAAGAATGCAGATGAGAACCATCGAACCGATAGAATAACATCTCTGTACCTGATGTCCATCTCAAGAACAGCGGTCTGCTGAAGATTCACTCGTGAGAGACGAAGTCTGTATTCCTAGAGAACATCAAAGAGCACGTGGGAAATGATGAGTTCACTGCCCATGCGCCGCCTGGATGGTGGGCAAATCCTCCTATATGGTCTGCCCCTTCCGAGACATCTCCACCCAAAGCACTTTGTCTTTCAAGGAGGTAGAAGCAGAGATGTAGAACCCAGCAAGGCACAAAAGGCATCTGTAACCAATCCTCCCACAACCAACTCAAAGACCCATGGACGGCCTTCGCGCACAGCCAGATGGTCAAGGTCCATCTCCTGCAACTATGCCAGAGGGTCACCCAAGGCACTAATCTTCAAGAACGGGAGGTCCAAGGCAGCAGTGACAAGGGTGATAAACAAATAGAGCTTGCGACCCCCCACAAATTGGTCATGGAAAATCCCTTGGACCCGATCTTCCTGACTCACAGTCGGGCGTGAATAATCCCATAACTTGATCGCATCTACCATTCGCTGTTTCAGCTTGGGCTCATGCACAAAAAAGACCAAAGCGGCTCCACACTGCAAATGTTCAACCTGGTTTTGCTGATACAAGGTGAAGCGAAGAAGCCGTTCACAAGTATCTTCTCTGTGTAGGGGCATACGAGTGAACTTGGCTTCGCGGCCGGGCGCTGAGGATGCACCGCCACCGTTTTGGCACAAATCCTCTGCCCTTTTCACTAGATCCAAGCCAGATGGCATGGCTCGGTTGGAACAAGGGTGGACAACTTACAAGGGACAAGGGTCAAGGGCTAAGCGGCTTCTCGAGCTCAGAATCCGGAACGTAAGCTTCCAAACCAAAAGGCAAGCCAAAACGAGATCTCCATTCAGCGCATGTGGTTGAATTCTTTCCTCTGGCTTGAGCGGTAAACATGGGAGTGCCACAATGCCGACAAGTGAATTGTTTTGGCATCCTTGCTAGTTTGGCCCCATTTGGTCAGCGTATCCCTCAACAAAGGCTCCTGTGCTTGGCAAGAACTAAGTCGACAACACAATGAAGTACCATCAGCAAATGTTATATCCCCCAATGAAGTGTGGCAATGGAATGACCAACCTTCCGTTGGATGTCACCTCGAGGAACGCCGCGCACACGAAGGTGAAAAGCTCTTCAAGAGCTTCAGCCCCTAATTCTTCTTCTTCTCGTTTACGGTAATGTTGCATTGCCAAACATTGCCACAGGTTGTACAGTGCAGGAGAAGAGCAGCAACCCTCCTTAATGGCATGTGAAATGACTCGCTATCCCCACCAGGGTCTGCATTTTGTACTCTGAGAGATCATGAAGACCTTGTACAACCTGTAAAAAATGTAGAGGGCATGCCTAATCTTTCAAAATTTTGCCAGGACGCATCCCGCTGTATTTCAACAACCCTGAGCATCGGTAATTGCTTCTAACCAATACTATTGGAAGATTTTGAATTGATATTGACATTGATTTGAAATATTGATTTTTCAATCACCACAAAATGTAGAAAATTCAACACACCTATATATATATATATACTGATTTTGCAAATGATTTCCTAATTGATTTTTTCCCGAGAGCGATTGCGAAGGGTTTTTCTTAAAGGCAGATTCCTTCATCATATTCCTTCATCACATGCCTATCATCACATGAGTGTCAAGATGAGCATCAAGATAAGAGCAGTATCACACGAGCGTAACCATAGCAGTCATACAAGTCTTATCAAGTGAGCATCAAGACATGAGCATCAAGATAAGTGTATCATAACACGAGCGTAAGTGTGATCACATGAGTATCAAAACATGAGCATCAAAGTAGGAGCATCATAACACGAGCATAATCATACAAGTCTTATCACACGAGTCTTATCACACGAGCATCTCCATCCATATCTCGACTTCTTTATTATATTCTCTCTTCAGGCGGCGGGGTGGCGCGGGCCAGGTCAATCGAGAGGCGACCCTCTGCGAAGATCGTCCGCGTCATGTGTTCAAACGTGAGGGTTTTTGCAACTGTTGAAAATTTTGATTCAACCCTCTTCGGAGATCGGGTGGATCGAGTGCTCAAACGCTCGGGTTTCTGCGACTTTTGGTTTTCGTCGGGCAAGCCGTCTGCGGAGATCGGGTGGGTCGAGTGCCCAAACGCTGGGGATTTTGCTACTTTTTGACACTTTGACGTTTGACTTTTAGAGGAAGTCTCGAGGGAAACGCTGGTTGTTGAGACTTGGACGCGTGAGTGTTTTGGAGGAAGTATCGTACGAAACGCTCGTTTTGGAGACTTGGCGCTTCACTTTTGGAGGAAGTCTCGTACTCATTCGAAACGCTCGGGTTCGGAGCTGTTGTTTTGAGTGTTGGCGGCGAGTTCTTGCAGGAAAGCAGGCGGCATGCTGCAATCGGCAAATTTAGTGGTGAAAAAGCAAACTAAGGAACCCCTTGAAGAGAAACTGAGCAAGTTCGGTGGATCAATCATGCGACAGGGTCAATCAGAGCCAAACCTCAAGTACTCAATGACAGCGTGTCTAATGCAGGTCCTCGGCTTTGCGACGTTGCAGGCAAACGACTGAGTGTCGTCCCTTAGCATGCACGGTCCAGAAATGAATTTTGCAGTGGGGGCACGGGTGGTCCTTAACTGAGACATGTTCTTGGACTTTGCGAACGCGTGAGATCCATAGATACTAGGGCATGGCCTTACAAGAAGAGGAGTGCTTACTGCGCTTGTGTTTATCTGCAAAATCTTTCAAGCCAAAGTGGCATTGCGTGGGTGGCCACCTCACAGGAGGTGGTGGAGGACGAGTTTTGCGCTTGGGGGCTGCCTTGGGAGCAGCTGCTGCAGGAGGGGGGTTCGGTCGCATTGGTGGGTTCTGTGTTCCAGGCAAATTTTGCGAAGAGGCCTTTTTGGCAGCCCGTTGATCTCGTCGGGCCTGCAAAAGTCGACGTTGCTCAGGCGGCGAATTTTGGCATGGCAAGATGTGTCTTTTATCATCGCAGCAGCATCTCAACTCCACAATGTGGGCAATTGTAAAGACCGTTTTGGCCAGGAACTGCTCCGTAAGCTGCACGTGCTCTCTCTCTTGGGCCTTAGCAAGACGGTGTGCCCTGGGACCATCAGGGGCATGACGCGGAGCCAAGTCTAATACAGCGGGCCAGTTGGTCGTACCATTCTATAGAGGTCAAAAATTTCAGTTCGTCAATGCGCCAGCCGTCCGTCGCCACTGCTCGCGATGATTTGGTGGAGGAATTTGTTCTTTTCAAGTCATGCCCGGTGACATCAGAGGGTGTACAAGGAAATGTTTCCAACAATGGGGCGAGCTGCTGCTTGAGTAGCTGCAAATTAACGAGGTCGTTGCTGTGAAACTGGTCTTGCCAGGCGTGGGCAACAGCAAGTCGAAACTCGGAGCAAAATCAAAGTCAGGGGAGCACACTGATACAGCACATCGGAGCAAAAGGCTGAGATGCAAAGCTCATCTCCAAAAGTTCCCAGTTTCGCCACATTTGTAAGGTAGTCCTGGTATGCCCTGATCACAGGATAGAAATTTGCCTGCTGAGCAGGCTGCTGTCGGGTGCCCCCATGAAACAACACAATCAGCCGTGGTGCGTGAACCAACTTAGCCAGGGGGGCTTCTGTATCACATCACAGCTGGCCCCATGTTCCTTTCAAGTGCCTGGAAGAACATGCCG